GCTTGTCACCAAATCGTTTATGTAGTGTGATATAATCTAAACTGTAGTGCTGTGCATAGACCGGCTTGTACGATAAGGTGGTCGAGTCCTTGAACCTCCTCTTCAACGGCCACACGGTGAAGGGCGCCGACGGGGTGGAGACCCAGGTGTATGCTGCTGTGACAGAGCTGCGGGCCGATTGGAAGTTTTACCGAGAGACTTTGTACCGGTTTCAGAATTCAATATGTAGTTCCTAGAAGTGTAATTAATAAACACTATATAGCCATTCCCATAAGCTTAAGAATTCCCAATCTAGAGCAATGGTTTTACCGACAGGCTGTTTGTGCACCAGTAATATTTTTAGAGTCACTAAGTTTTCCCACGTATATGACCCTGAACACTAGTCAACCCCCTTCCCCTTACGAATTCCTTATAAGATGAGTGCTACCCAGCTAGTTTTACCCAGAGGCTTTGTATGCATCGGTGCTTCCCACCAGCTGAGATAACCCTAATTAGCATTAGTCAACCCCGCTCGTTATGATATCCAAAACTAAGAAGGGTGATGTTCCACCCACCTAGGAGTGGCTTGGCTTCAAGAAGGTTGGATGGAACTGCAACAGCATCTGCCACCACTGTGGAGCCCAACTTCAAACATTCTTCGATGACCCCACTATGGCAGCTGTAGATGCAGTTGCCCGGCGAGACTCCGAGAACTTCAACCGGGAATGCACTGTGCTTGTGGACAATCTTGGGGAGAAGAGACACTTGGCTGACATCGCAATTATTTAGAATGAATGTCCTGGGATTAGCTCTCTTGAACAAAACCCACCCCCGACCAATAGCCCCCAAACCTGACACAAATACGTAAAATAGCCCAGTCTCCAAGCCATGGCCGATCCCTCATCTCTTGCAGGTTGCATCCCCAGCCTCTCTGGCTGGCATCACGAAATGATGCGATGGTGCAGCTTGCACACCATCAACATGGGGATATTGTTATGGGCAACTGCTGCTTGCATGCAAATTCTTCTTGACAAGGCCAGTGAATGCACACATACTGCTGTTGCAGTACCCTACCTTAGTCATCTTATGACTAGATATCTACTTGTGTGGGGCAGGGCATCTGGGCCGGTGACGGCATGTCGGAGCAGCTGGCCGCTGCATACTGTGACTTTTCGCAGTACTGCCGTGAGCGCAAGATTGTGTGCCCAGGTCGAAGTTGATCCCCAATTTAAAAGCGCTAGTTTGCTAGCTAAAGTCTATAGCATGTACACGTTATAATTACAACCCTGGCCCCAAAACTCCGACATGTTGAAATTCTCTCGATCTGAGGCACAGCCAACCGAAGTTCTCCCCGAAGATCTTCCGTGGCCGGGAGGGGGGACTGGAGCTCGGGACGAAGGCGTACAATGCCACTCGGTTTGGTTGTTCAACCCTACTACACCCCAAGCCCTGAACCTTAAACCCTAACTGTAAAATATGTACTTAAGGTGATTGGGTTTTTTTTGCAAATGATGAGGCTCGTGTCATCACGGCATGGCTTGCCCATGTCATGACAAAGCTTCTGTACGAGGAGGTGCATGCGGAGAATGAGGTCATGAGGCTCATGGGGCAACTCATGTGACTTGTCTTTGCTTAATCCCGGAGCTAACCAATCGATTAACTTACCATTATAAGCCCAAAACAACATATCATATGAGCTGTACTAATCCCTGATATACTTACTATGTGCCCTGAAACCCATAACACCTAAAAACCCAAACCCGAAACCTTTCATAATGAATCCAAGGTTCTACCTTGGAGATCTCATGAACTGTGTGGAGCAGGCTCAGCGGTACCTTGGTGATGCTGAGATCGCCCGCATGCGGCTGTGTACGGATCCTTTAGCTTACCTTGCAAAGCTTTTCGAAGCCGGTTTAGGGTTTAGGGGGTTTAGGGCTTTAGGGTTCAAGGTTTAGGGTTTAGGAACTTTAAAAACCAATAGTGTCATTTAAAGGGGATAAAACTAAGTTCATACCACATCCGAGGATACCATCCTCGATGCCTATGGATGGCTGGCTAAGATCTTCGCTGATGAGCAGAAGGCCTACTTCCAGATCCGCCCAAAGCTTCATGTAGCTCGATTGCAATCCGTTTGGAGAGAGAGAAAGAGAGAGAGCGAGAGAGAGAGAGATGTCTATCCCAGGGCATCACAGAGCTGATCCACTTCAGCTCCTGCGAGCGCTACAACTTCAGATTCTATCATACATTCAGTTCGGAGGACTTCAATGGCAAGCTTATCCGCACCTCGCAGGCTATATCATGAGCATTCCCGAATTCGAAACATGTGGGATTGTTTTCTAATCCAATCAGGAATCGCAGCGCAAGTCCACACCAGATCTTTAGAGAGGAGCACCTTGAGAAGGTACTACCTCTGGATCCTTGCATCAAACAGTACCGTTGACCGGTTTAGGGTTTAGGGTGTAGGCCGGGTTTAGGTTTTAGGGCTAGGTTACGTGTACACATAACCAAAATCCAATTTGTGGCCGAGCATCTGAGGCTGCAAACATCGATCGCCCAATCGGCCGATTGAGCGCTGGGTTTTAAGCTTAGGGGCTTAGGGGCTTCGGGGTTACACTAGCATGCTAAACTAGACTCGAAGGGCTGTGACCCGTGATATGTACCTATAAGCCTTTAAATAGAAGATCCTCCGAAGCTTAAAATCAGAGCGAGAGGTTGAGTGAATGCGTGTAATCGACACGCTTGCACTCGATCGAGCATGCAGCTGGGCGAAATATGGCAGGTGCGATCCTAAAGCATTCGATCGAAGTCAGTGCTGCCTGTGAGACAGAGTGGGATCGAGAGAGTGTGTACATGTACATGTGCATACATGCTGCAATATGATGTATGTGTGTGTGTTGTGCGGTGTAGGGTGTGGTTTCGGGCTTGTGCTTGTGCATGTGTGTGTGTGTTGTGTCGTGTCGGGTGTGGTTTGGGGTTGGTGTGTGTGCGTGTGTGTCCGTGTTTGTGTGGGTGGGTGGGTCAGGTGTGGGTGTGTGGGTGTCTATATATATATATATATGTGTGTGTGTGTGTGCGTGGGCTGTGTACATGTGTGTGTGTGTGTGCATGATTGCGCAGACGATTTTTTAAACCCAGGGCATTCAAGAGTCCAGCCTTGTCCTATATTTTGTTCCTGAATTCTCCTGTGTGGGTGTAATGTTGTCTCGAGAGTGTGTGTCTATCCTGCAAAATCTATCTATCTATCTATCTATCTATCTGTATCTATCTACTTTCATCAGCTTCTCTACATATTATGTTCTATGTGTGCACCTGTATCCACCTATCTATCTATCTATATATATATATATAGCCGGATGTGTCTGGTCGATATCCTCAAAGTTGCAAAGGTAATACTTTCGCCCAAGGGGGCTCTTTGGATCATAATATGTCGTTGCTCCACAGATCTCTCTGTTCACTCACGCAAAACGAAAGTGCTGGCTATAACGACACCCTGGAGCCTTTGGGCTAGGGAGCCAGTTCGCGACGAAACACAAACACCGCAAAGTCTTGCCCAGAGGTCAGTAGCAAGCACTAGGGTATCATTGGGATCATTCAGATTAAGCTCTAAGCAATTACCAAGTCTACCTTCTACTCAATGCGTATGTAACTACCTAACTACTTACTGACTGCGGTTACACAGGAAGTTGGCCTTTCTGTCCTTAGGGGGAACCCTTCGCAGTGCGCGAAATCCTGCCAACCCCCCACCTCGAAAAACACACATCGAACGAACTGGGTCTTGGGTTCGTTTTCCCTACACACCCGGGGTCCCGCAATCCGCTGCAATTTTCCCATAGCCTTTTGTCGCAACAGTTTCGCTTTGGGGTTCGGGTTTTGGGGTGAGGTCGTGGTTGGTTGCGGTTGGTCAGGTGCTCAGTTGGTCAGTTGGTCGGTCTGTCGCTCGCTCGGTTGGTCGGTTGGTCGGTCGGTCGACCGGTCGGTTGGCTGGGTGTGGCTGTTGTTGTGCTGGTTGCGGGTTGTGCTGGTTGTGCTGGTGTGGTCATGGTGGGTGTGGTGGTCATGGTGGTGGTGGTTGTGTTGGTTGTGGTGGTTGTGGTGGTGTGGCTGTGGTAGATGTGGTGGTTGTGGTGGTTGTGTTGGTTGTGTTGGTTGTGGCAGTGTGGCTGTGGTGGTTGCGGTGGTTGCGGTGGTTGCGGTGGTTGCGGTGGTTGCGGTGGTTGTTGTGGTTGTTGTGGTTATTGAGGTGGTGAGGGGTGTTGTGGGGTGTTGTGGGGTGTTGTGGGACGTTGTGGGGCGTTGTAGGGTGTTGTGGGGTGGTACGGGGTGGGGGCAGGTGTTATGGGGGTGTTTTGTGGGGTGTCTTGTGGGGTGTTTTGTGGGGTGTTGTATAGGGTGGTGTGGGGTGGCGTGGGGTGTTGGGGGGTGTTGTGGGGTGTTGTGGGGTGATGTGGGATGTTGTGGGGTGTTGCGGGGTGTTGCGGGGTGTTGTGGGGTGTGGTGGGGTGTGGCCGGGTGGGATGCGGGGTGTGGTGGGGTGTTGTGGGTGTTGTGGGGTGTTGTGGGGTGCGGTGGGGTGTGGAGTGTCGGGTGTGGGGCATGGTATTGGTTGTGATCACGGTTGTGGTTGCTGTTGCTGTTGCTGTTGTTTTGCTGCTGAGACTTGGAGGAACCCTTGAAACACTTTTCCAAAGCAGATCAAAGTGTTGGGAACGAGCGCGGGAGGTCAAAAGCTGAGCATCGATGACGAGAGTTTTCTTTATTATGAAGACTTCGGGTGGCTTTTCACTTTTTCACCTTCGTGGAAAGCAAAGCTTTACTTATGAAGCAGAACTCTGACTGTGAAGGATGCAAATGTATCATAGACGATTTCGTACACTCGCGGTCCACATACTTTTATTATCCATATCCATAGGCTTGGTCAGAGCTCAGGGTTTTGGTTCCGAACCTGGCTTGCAAGTGGAACTAGGGGCAACTTAGCCGAAGTTGAACTTATCAAGCCGAAGAATAGAAATGAGGCAAGATGCAACATCAGGCGGTACCCCGACATGGCCAGGAAGGCAAAGCGGCGGCTTCGGCGTCAGCATTGTTAGCAGCGCATCCGCTCTGTCGGGTACGCACCAGATGCGACCACATGCCGCTGCGATGCCAGACCATTTGAAATCGCCACTGCTCTGCCAGCCCTGCCATGGATCTAGTCCGGCGATGCTGATGTAACCGATAGCGTCGCAAACCGGATCAATAACAAGAATGGATCCTGCACAGCTCGGAGCACAGTACAACCGGCCATCCTCGGCCAAACAAATCCCGGACCACTTGTTCGCAGATGTCGAATCCACACATGGAGGGTTCAGGCCGAGAGTGTACAACTTCCAGTTTCCTGGATCAATCACGAGCACGCAGTCGGCATCACAAGGTGCGCAGTACAGCTTCGAGTTGTGTGCGGCAGCGATCCCACTCCACAGTTGGACATCTGCAGCTAGGTAGTCGGGTATTGGATCTCCGTCCTCGTCAACATACTGCACGGCCCCCGCCTCGTCGAAAAGCTCGCCGTCCCAAAGGTAGTGCAGCTCGTGGGTGTTCGAGTCGATCACCAAGACCGCCCTAGCCCGGCCAGGTGAGCAGAACATGTAGTGATCTCCGGCTGTGGCGATGCCTGCAGACGGACGGGTTTAGGAGACAAGGAGTGGGAGGGCTTACGGTGTTTCGGGGTCCGATTTCGGCGCAGGCGATGCCTGTCCACTTGTTTTTCTGACTTCGTCGCTGCACGCCCCGGATGAGCTCGAAGGTGCCAGAGTCGGGGTCCAGCACTGCAACCTGGGAGCCGTTGGCTGGAGGCGAATAAAGTTTGCCATTCGGCGCGACAGCAATGCTCCAAAACACGCTTTCCTCGTCTAGCTCTTGGACAACAGCTGTTCCTTCTGTGTTTAGCAGTTGAAATTCCCCTGTGGCGGGTGCGTAGGACAACGTCCACAAATAGGGTTCCCCAACGCGGTTATTGAAGAATGTTGGCACCAGATAGATCCGACCATCTGAGGTGCAGCAGCCACCAGCAAAGGCGTCACTTTGGTGGATCAGCTGCTGGTAGTCTTCGGGCAGGTCAACCGGCGAAACATGCCGCCCCCCATCAAAACCTCCGGAATGAACCTCCAAGAAAGACCTTTCGTTGCACGGTGTGCAGAAGATCGTTCCATTAGAGGCTGCCGCGGCTCCACCCCATTTCCCGTTCCATTCCCCGGCGTCATGCGGCACTGGAACTGGCTGCGCCATGGACGCAGTAACTTTGCTGCTTAGCTCGCGCCATTAGAACGCTGCTTGCTTTCAGAGCCACCGTGCGAGCCCAGGGAAGAGTGTTCTGATGCGATTCAATGGCCTTCTGGGGTGGGCGTCTTCAAAACCTGGAAAGCTTAGCATCCCAGGCTTCAAGCATCCCAGAGAGCCCAATACCCTAATTGAGGAATATAGCTTAAATCATAATATGAAGCCTTATATAATTTAAGCCATATTCCTTAATTAAGGGGTGTTGGGCTTTCTGGGATCATCAGGCCTTACATCCAATTCCCAACACCCTTATCTCAAATCCTCGAGACACTGCACAACTCTGCCGAGATCCAAACTTGCGCTGAACAGTAAAATCCCTCAAGCAATTTTGCCCAATCCCCGTGATGGTCCAATGATCCTGGCTCGCCGGCTTGCAGAGAGACAAGGCTTTAAGGTGTAGTTTACCCTAATCCTAAAAAGCCTACCTAAACATCGCAACCCCCCAAGCCCCTAAACATCCTAAAGCCTCTGGCAGACTGAGCAACTGCATCCCCTGGAAAATTATGGTATCATGATACTTCCAAGCACTGTTCTAAATATTTAAGCGCCAATACTCCCCGGCATCTTGCCTATTCCGGAATCCCCCGCTCTTCGCGCGTGCTTGCCTTTGGCGGGCTCGGCTCTCGTAGGGTGTTCGGGCTTCGTTTGGGTCGTAGGCTGCTGGGTGGGTAATGGTTTGGGGGGCCAGGGTGTTGGTATGGCTTTCAGGCTTGTTTGCGATTGATTCTAGGGGCCTCGAGTGAGAGAACTGTTTTGGAGCACGCCTGCGTGAACAAACAAATATGCAACATATTGAATGTTAATATGCGTGTGTGTATATGTATAAATATATATATATATATATATATATATATATATATATGTATATATGTCTACATAAACACATATAGATATCTGAGGCACTTGGGATGTGTCGAGGTTCAAAAACAGGAAGGAGATCGCATTTCACGAGCCCAACAGAATATGCCGGCTTATGGTTCAGGTTTCACACTAGACAAACGGAAAGGAGTCGGCTTTGGTCAACGGTTTGAGGGATGCTAGGCTGGACTTCATCAGTAAGCTACAAATAGATATGGAGTCATAAAGTAGCCTAGTTCTGGGTATCCTACTTTTACAACTCTACTTACCACTAGGACCTACATACTAAGCGCCCTTGAAGCATACATTCGGAAAGCTGCCTGTCGTGGGTCCTGTCTGCCGCAGGGGCGGGTTTTGGGGTTGGGGTTAAGGGTTACGGTTTCGGGTCGTCAAGGGGTTTAGGAGTTCAGGGTCTTAAGATTCGAGGCTTTGGGAAAGAAAACCAACCAAGTCCAGAAAGACTCAAGCCCACCAAGGGCTCTCGCGAGACTCAGACTAAGCCCTTTCTAGGATTCTAGGAACGTCCGAAACCGAGAACCCTATGTCCAACCGTAAACCCCGAACAACAGGGAAAGATGTAGGATCGCTAAGAACCCTAAATATGTAGGCGTCGACCAGCTTAGCCTGGGAAAGATGTAGGATAGCTAAGAGCCTGAGCATGTCGGCCTCTTGCGGATCAGCTTCATCTAAACTTCCTAAACCCGACCCTAAACCCCTAAAACCCTCCTAAACCCTAAACCGTAAACCTCTAAACCCTGAACCTCAAACCCCTGAATCCTCAACCCGAAACTAAACTAAAGCGCCTTGCACCTCGCCACAACTCGCTTCACGCGCTCCGAGACCTCTCGGTGGAGGAGTGTCGTAAACACAGGAGTAGGGGTTTGGCGGTTTACGGTTTAGGGTTCGGGTTTAGGGTTTAGGGTTTAGAGGTTTAGGATCTAGAGCTCCTAGGGTTTGGGTTTAAGGGGTCGGATGAGGGCCAAAGTACAAACCACCTCTCTTCTCCAATAACCAGGCCCCAAAAAGTTCAGTCTTTGTAAGATAGACCAACTACATAAAGCCAACAAGTTTAAAGTTCTCCAATTGGCTAAGTAAGCCAGCAAGCTAAGTCAAGGTGTCATCAAAGAGGATGACCGCAAGCCTGATAGCGGAACCCGCAACAGACCCAATATCACCAATACGGTTGATGATATAAATCCTGCATTACCCATAATAAGGAATATACCATAACTCCCATAGTTTAGGGTCCTTAAGGTAGTGCAGGATTTATATCATCAACCCTACACCCTATAACCCTCCTATAGATCCCAGGGTACCCTTATAGATCCCTTTAAAGGAACCCTAGGTTTGTAACATCAACCGTTCAAGCTGCATCTTCAAGGGCCAAAAAATGCCGGGGCGCTGGGTCCAACTCGCTAAGACCCCGAAGCAGCCCCAACTCCAAGGGTAAAAGGAGGGACCCTTAATGGGGACCCTTATATAGGGCTCCTTAAAGGGATCTATAAGGATTCTATAAATGGTTTAGGGTTTAGGGTGTATCAAAGGGTAAAAGGAGGGACCCCTAATAAGGACCCCTATAGGTATATACCCTTAATATGGCCATGATATACCCATTATATAGCCCATTATCGGGCAGGGGTCCCCATTAAGGGTCCCTCCTTTTCCCCTTTGACCAATACAAGGGGCCTTGATACTGCTGTAAACCCCACACCCCCGAGCCCCTCAGCTCTGGGACAGGGTTTTGGGCGCTAGTCATGTGTAATTATGCAGGGACTATAATATGCTGCTGCTTTTGGATACTCAGACATCTAGTGGAGAGAAACATAACGCACGAGGCCTCAATGGTATGCCAATGCGACAGGGAAGCTCAAAATCCAAAGCCCTTAAAGCCACTCTTGCTAATTCATGGTACCCATGAAGATGCAAAAAGCCCCCCAAAACAGTAGAATACAACATAATATAAGGAATGCAATATCATACGACCTGATGCAAGCTATTACGCTACATCATGATGTATTGTAGTGCAATGTGTGTGTGTATATATACATTCTATACAATTTCTATATATATATATATATATATATATTTATCCATGTACGTATACTAGTACACACCTCTACATCTCTCTCTCTCTCTCTCTGTGTATATGTATATAAGTATATATACCTATATACAAACATAGGTTATAGTATAATACACTACCATACTTTCATTCAACAAAAAAGGCTGCGAGCCTTCGAGGCTTGCTCCTCCGGAGGCGCCGCCTCATCGATCCACATCTGCAGCCATGTCTGCACCTCAGCGGGGCTTAGGGCATAAAGATCTACCTTTTTAGGGGTTCCTTATTATGGTTTCTATATATATATATATATAGATATATAGATATATAGTTCCTTAAAAACGTAGCAGGGCTAGGGCATAGGGTTTAGGGTTTAGGGCTTAGGGGTTGGGGTTTAGGGTTTAGGGCTTAGGGTTTAGTAGGGCATAGGGCCCGTGTGATTTTGTGGGTAATGGTACTGTACAGATTTAGGGATGCTTAGATTAGGGTCCAGCACAAGTAGGGTGGAGGACTCGTATGACCTCGTGATATGAGAACTAATGAGTGACTTAAGGAATTCAATAGGGTTGGGTTGGAAATTCGATTGTTTGTTCCGGCTTTGATAGGCTCTGCGGGATAAAGTACGCGGAAGGATGATGGTTAAGGTTGCTGGATGTGCAGCAAGAATGGGTGAGAACGGCTCGAGCAAGGCTTTAGATCTTCGGTGTAGGTGCTTCCATAGTCACACTTGGCTGAATTAGATGTATGCAAAGTGGTTCTTGAGGAGTTTGCGAGAGCTCACAACGTCCCTTCACAACTTCAGCCTTCCGCCAGGACACACAAAAGGATGTTCAACGCCGTTGCAGCTCTGCATATTATCAAGGTACTTAAAAGGTTCTGTGAGACTTTCTATAAGTCTTGTAAGGTTCTTAAACCCACGTTCCCTAACTAAAATCCCCGTGACTTCAAAAACTCAACGCTCTGAGCCTGAATCCTTCTACAACCCTGATAAAGTGCTACAGAACCCGTACGTATGGAACCCATGTTGTAACCCTTCATCCCAAAGCCTAGACTCTATACCAGCCGGATGTGGCAAAGCCATGAACCTCCACTCGACACCGTCCACCCCGACCCGTCCCTGGGCCCAATGCGTTGAAGCTCAGATTATGGGAGAGCTGGTCGAGCTGGCGGGCGCGTGCTTTGGATTTCTTTTGCTCCCGCCAGAAGCACATGAAACAAAGGGTAGAGACTGAGTCCAAAATGAAAACAGCCAGGAATTTCCATGGTTGGTACAGTATCGGAGGGTGAGATACGACATCGTACCGAATGCAACGATGATGTCAATGTCGGTGATTGAACCTTAACTAGTGGTGGTGATGGCGGTGATGCAGGGCATCATATACAACCACAGTATAACCCTTGCATGAAAAAACGAAGATCTCTAAACCCTGAACCCTGAGCCCTAAATCCTGCACCAGTAGACCCTAAACCCTACATATGGCTGGTTGTCAAAATTGTGGTCCCTTTTTGGGTCCCCAGTATAGTACGGCACCCATTATTTAGGGTACCCAAAAAGGCACCCTAATTTTGAGAACCACCCATACGGTTGATGATATGAATCCTGCATTACCCATCGTAAGGAATACACCATTATTCCCATAGTGTAGGGTCCTTAATGTAGTGCAGGATTTATATCATCAACCCTACACCCTATAACCCTCCTATAGACCCATGGTACCCTTATAGATCCCTTTAAAGGAACCCTAGGATTTATACCGGAGGGTACTGTATAGAGCCCCTGTTAAACCCCTGATAAGCCCCGGTGGACCCAACATCTTCAACTCCGGAAGCCTCGAGCTCGCAACGGTTAGGGTGTTTGGGCTTAGGGTTTAGGGTGTTAGGGTTCAGGGTGTAGGGTGTAAGGGTTTAGGGTTTAGGGTGTTAGGGTTCAGGGTTTAGAGTGTTAGGGTTTAGGGTTTAGGGTGTTAGGGTGTTAGGGTTTAGAGTTTAGGGTTTGGGGTTTAGAACCTAGGGTGTTAGGGTGTTAGGGTTTGGGGTTTAGGGTTTAGGGTGTTAGGGTGTTAGGGTTTAGGGTGTTAGGGTCGGAACGTCGAACCCCATGATTTGAATTCCAAAACCGTTGACTCCCAGGCACAAACAAAGCCCGAAACCTTCAAGCCTGAAGCCCTCAACCCACACCTTGATAGACCCCTCAATCAAAGCTGCCATGTAATATGGGGGCCTCAATAATTACCTATACTATTTTGGGCGCTCCTTATTATAATTACAGTGTAATGGCCCCAGGCCCAAAACCCTATTCAAATTCTTCAGGCCCCTATATCAACCCAACCCTCGGTACGTAGACAAGTCGGTGTTTTGACAGTCGCTGAGGTTTGCTCAGGATGTTGCGGCTTGGTATTGGTCGGTTGGGCCCTTTCGTGTCTTCGGCTTTGGGAAATAACGGGTTCTTCAAGGCCTCGATACGGGATCTACAGTTTAGGGTTTCGGATCGTCGAGTGCTTCAGTGTTGTGACTTGGTTTCGGATTTAGACTTTCGGGCTTAGAAAACCCAACTGGATGCTGTCAGCCGGCCGTAAACTCCCGGTAAACAGGTGCCATCAAAGCCCTAAACCCTAAACCCTAAAACAAAAAGCTCCACAGTCCCCCGGCCCGAAACAAGAATCGAGCGTCATAGAAACTCTTCGAGAAAGGAAGCACACGTTACTACGAATCGTAAACCCTCTTACAGATCTTGATAGACCAAGGAGCCCTGGCAGCTCATTGTTGCTAAGATTACTGTTGTTGTTAGAAAGTTATTACGATGAATTCGTGTTGTTGTTATTACTTTCGCTCTTCTTCTTCTTCTTCTTCTTGTTCTTCTTCTTCTCATTCTACTATTCTTGCTGTCATAACTTCATTTGGTAAGGCTATTGCTATGCTATTGTTACTACTAAGCAGGCCTGGGGGAAGATGTTGCTCATGGACTCAGCCATCGGAGCGATAACGAACTCGATGAAGCCGACCTTCACACTCTGATGAAGGGACAACGCCTTGGTGATCGTAATTGTACTAGTAATAGTGATAGTGATAGTAGTGGTAACGGTGGTAATAGTGCAGCAACTGTCTGCGAAGATACGCGGGCTTTATGATGATAACAACGTTTTGAGGGGTCTACTCTGGTTTATTTGCAATACGGAACCATAAGAAACAGTATTAGTACCTCGGACCTAGAAAAGCTTCTACATTACCGTAGTGCCGATGCTCGTTTCTCGGTCCTCAACGCAATACACCTCGCACGCAGACACAAGTCGTAAACTCCTGAACACGTAAGCCTACAACCCTAAATCCAGAACTTGTTCGAGCACTTGCATGCTTACGAGCCCGGCTGCTCTGCTGATCAAAGATTTGCTGTGGGATTCAACACTGAACCAAAAACCGCTTAGGTTGTGAAGCTTCTAACGGGGTGCTGTACATCTACGGAGGTTGATAGGCTTTTAGAGCGCTTGAGTTTATAAAGATCCAACGGCGGGACTACTTCTGTTGATGCTACAAATCCTGCATTACCTTAAGGACCCTAAAGTATGGGAATTCTGGTATATTCCCTATTAATGCAGGATTTATACCATCAACCGTTCCGGTCATGGACCTGGACACGGAGCACTGGAAGCTCCCAGGGCTCCAGCCAGCAGGTTGCAGCCCTCGTAACCAGGGAGATAAAAGCAAAGACTTTTGTTTCATATTGGCTCCTTAGAGGAACAGGTATCCTTAGAGGAACAGGTACCAAAAAAGTACAGGTACCAGAAAAGTATTCAAGTATGGTACTCCTCAACAAGCTGTGGCAACTTTTAACATCATGTCGGTCGCTCTGACCATCGCTGTACTCACTGCGATTAAGCTTCCCACAGTCGCTTTTGATACTGCTTGCTGGTAGCACACGAAGCCCGAAACCTGAAACTCTAAAACACCCAACCCTGAACCCCTCAACCGTGCATGGGACCCTAAACTCTGAACCTGAAACCCCAAACCTAAAACCCTAAACCCCGAACCCTAAACCCCGAAGCCTAACCCTAAACCCTACAAACCCTAAACCCTGCACCCCAACCTCGAAGCCCTCCGGCTGAGTTGTCCTTTAAGCCGTTTGCAAATTATTTACTAGTGTGGCTCTCTACAAAATAGTAGGGAAACTAAAAAAGATCCCAAAGGACAACCCAGCCAGCCCCAGATGCTGACTTGCGAAACTGAGGAGTCCTTTCCCGGCTATCCAAGACTTGTGGTAAACCCGGTTTAGGGTTTAGGGTTACTGTACCCCGGCCAGCAACTCGAAGAGTCTGGACAATGTAGGGCTTAGGGTTCTTGGGGGTTTTGGGGGCTTCTATAAGGGTTCCTTTAAAGGTTACTATAAGGGTTCTATAAGGGTTTTTTTGGGGGGGTTGATGTAGGAACCTGATTAAGAAACGTTGGTGTTAATTATCTGAATCCCACTATATTGGGGTTATGCGCCCCGGGTTTTTAATTAGGTTCCTACATTAGGGCTAAGACTTTCGGGTAAACTTTCACTCCCATGCGAAGAACCCGGGATACAGCACGATCTGGGGTCTGCAATATGGGAGCCTTGTGAATCGTAACTTGATTTTCCCCGCCTGCGAATTCGGCCGGTTCACTTTGTCTCTGTCCTCGGTCGAACCGAGTTTAGGGTTCAGGGTTCAGGGTTTAGGTTTGGGGTGAGTGCCGGCAGTGGAGGCTCGGTGTGAAGATGCTTTGCGATCGGTCCGTCCCCCACAAGACAGCACCGGGCTCCTCCGTGTGGGTAGTTCTCAAACTTACGGTTGATGATTTAAATCCTGCATGACCCATAATGAGGAATATACCATAATTCCCATAGTTTAGGGTCCTTAAGGTAATGCAGGATTTATATCATCAACCGTAGCATCCCTTCTTGGGTGTCCTACACAAGGAGCCCAAAAGGGACCCGAATTTGGACAACCACCCGTTTGGGGGAAAAGGAGCCCTATGGAAGAAGCCGGTGTAGTTTGCATAGTAGTACATTATAGGAGTAGTCACCGGCGTCGGCGTGGTAAGAGCAGCAGCAGCAGTAAGAGCAGTGTAGGTGTAGTAACAGTAATAGTAGGCGGAGGAGGATGAGGAGGAGACCATAGCACGAGCAAGGTGACTTCAGAAAACCATAGGTGTGAGATCCTTCCCAGAGAGCCCAATACCCCTTAATTAAGGAATATAGTTTACATCATAATATGAGGCCCTATATAATTTAAGCCACATTCCTTAATTAAGGGGTATTGGGCTCTCTGGGTTCCATTGTGTTATGGGCCGTAGGCCTCGCTCTTCAAGGATCTGGGGACCTTTAAAGTTACCAAAGTTACTCTATAAATAGCTTAACTACCTACAATCCCAAATGAGTCTTTATCACCCTGCTATAGCTACCCATGAGACCTAACCACCTGGGTACATCCTGCAGAAACCGTATACAAAATGTTACAACGTCCGTACTTATAACTACCCGTGAACCTTCAACTACCTAAACCATACATCCCTAAACCCTAAGCCTCTCTAAGAACTAGGCCGCCCCTAGTCTCTTTGTACTCACACGCGTACGAGTCCAAGCATCATTGAGCATCTGGACCGGGATGCCTTTCTCTTTCTCCATGTCGCCCTGATTGAGAAACGAAGCAGATTCGCTTTGTCATGGGATGCAGGGTTCGTAGGGGCTTTGGTGAGTGACGCCTGGGTGTCATCACGGGGATATGAGTACCAAACATCGATACAGCACCCCTCTAGAGCCAGAACGTACTGAAGATAAGGGTTCTATCAGGGCTATACTCTGCATGCCTCATCATCATGTAGCTGTAAGAGAACCCTTCCAGATTCTAGACCCACCGTAGAAACGACCTGAACGTTGAGAAGCTTTGTGCTTCCGCCTTCATCACGGCTTCCCGTTCAGGGTTTCTGGGTCAGGGTTGAGGGTCGAGAGGTTTAGGATGGCTGATGCTTGAGGGTTGAGGGGTTAACGAGGGTGTAACGCTCATGTTGACGCTGCATCTGAGTACGGAGGCGACTGAGTTGGCACGAACTTTGCAGCATGTGTCTCGTAGGGTTGCACTAGATTGGAGCTTGCTCTCGTGGCATGCTTGTTTAGATCGAAGGTCGCTGCCGGGGTAGCTACAAACAGCGAAATCGAACAACCAGGCCCAGAAGCGAACAGGCATGGGAATTTTCAAGATAAGGGTCCCGAGTACACACCCTTGATAGCAGGATCCTCAGTATAACGACTTAAAGCAAAACTCCTGCATTTTGGGCGAAACTCTAAATCCTATAGTACCCTTTAAAGGAACCCTGGACCCTTATGGCAACCCTTTAAAGGAACCCTAAACACTGAGGGATACTTCCATGCATTCCTTCCTATGCATCTCCTGAGCTCCACAAGCGTGCCTGGGCGAAAAACTCATCCAAGCAAAGATGGGCCAGCTGGTAACAGATGTCCCATGGCCTGCATGCTGTTTAGGGCGCAGGGCTGTTTCTGACTTCGGGCTAGAGGCCTCAGCAGACTTAGTTGATTGTGCGTGTCGGGGAGATCGGGCAGCATGAAGATGCCTGAAAAATTAAACTGCCTATAGTCTCCATTGTAGTTCCTTTTTTGGTTTAACCAATTTAGGTGGGGTGTGAGGGCCATAAACGGGGGCCTAAGCAATAACTAATGTCGCCTTTCGAGCTTTGCGTCTATATTTTAAAGGGAACTCCAGAAAGCTGGAATATGGTTTCAGGGTAGGATACCCTATAATTTACCATAAAGGGGTTACGATAATGATATTCCAACTTTCTGGCTTCTACTGTATAGGGTTGGTGGCTTTGAGTGTGTGAGTTCTGAAGGTCATGTCTCTTAGAATGAAAAGAAGGCACAACCAATACAACATCTGATCAAACAAGCTTTCGACAGCTGTATTGCGCTTGCTTCTGCTGATTTTTGTAGGACGATGTGTATGAAGGCGCACAGAACAGGGCAATGGCCAAGACCAGAAGAAGGGACGCAAAAAACCTACAGCGCCAAACCTTAAAACCAGTAAGACCTAGCCCGAACACTCCATTCCCAACACCGAAGACTTCCTTTGTTTCCCCATACCACCTATAGTCTCCATTGTAGTTCCTTTTTTGGTTTAACCAATTATACATTAAGGATCCTATAAGGTAACCCAAAAAAGGTACTACAATGGAGACTATAGGCAAATTTGTTTTTCCATACCAAAGGAAACACAAGTTTTGTCCTCCAGGAAATGGGCGTTTCCGAAAATAGGGGACCCTAATATAATACCCTACATAGTAGGATCCTTATTCTAAGGACCTCAAAATAGGGTACTCCTAATTCTCGGAAACTCCCACATAAGAACCCGAGAAGTCGCAAGCTTCGTCTTGGAAAATGAACGCAGACCCTCATCGACCCTCTTAAACCTCATGTGAAACCACATAACACTAGAGAGAGCCCTTCTAAGCCTCTTGTAAAGCCTATAGTGAACCGCAAAAAAGTTGGGAACCGGATTAAGGACAAATAGTGCTGGGAATCCCTATACATGACTGTTAACTTAAGGATTGAGGCTATTGGGTTTCCAACTTTTGGGCTTCTACCATAAACCCAACCTAGAAAAGATCAGCCAAAACCCCAAACCCTATAGTAAAAGCCAGAAAGTTGGAATATCATTATCGTAACCCCTTTAAGGTAAGTATAAGGGATCCTACCCTGAAACCATATTCCAACTTTCTGGAGTTCCCTTTCAAGCCCAATCTAGATTAGGGCCCGGGCTTCATAGGATTCCCGATGTCTGCGCAATGCAGGAGGGCGTTCCTGTTATCAAAGAGTTCGGAAGGTTTCGGATTTCGGGTTGAAGGGCTTGGGGTTTAGGATTTAGGGTTTAGGGGCTTGGGGTTTAGGGTTGAAGTTTAGGGTTTAGGGGTTTAGGATTTAGGGTTTCAGTCTTCAGTGGCTTTTGTAAGATTTAATTCGGATTGCTGAATGAATTTTGGAGGGGTTCCACATTCTTCGCACCAGGGGTTCTATATAGGTCTATCAGAGGTACGGGAGGCTGTTCGGATTTTGACGTTTCGGGACCCTACATCCCTAAACCATTATAAACCCTGGACCCTAAACCTTGCACATAAAATAAGCCGTACTTGTGCATCCGGACGCCCATGGGTCCGAGCCTGCTGTTCGCAAACGGAAGCCCAGAGACTCCAATATCCCTTAATTAAGGAATATACCTTAAATTATAGTAGGATCCCTAATATGATTTAAGGAGTATTCCTTAATTAAGGGATATTGGAGTTTCAGGGAACCTATAAGCCATTCACAGGTGGGTAGTTTTAAGGTGGGTAGTCTCCCATAAGCCTTCCATACCACTCCTACAAGGTAAAGGGGTCTTATGGGAGTACTATGGAAGAGGAACTACCCACCTGTAATGGGCTTCTAGAACCCTCACCGCAAAACACGACCTCCCCTAACAGCAAATCTTTAGCCGACGGTCCAATTTCAAAACCCCGAAAGGCTAAGTGTGGGATTCAGGGTTCCGTTTCCCGAAGCCATCAGTTCTCCTAAATTGGCCGAGCGGAACCCAGAAGACCCGCGCACGCCACCAAAACGTTCCGCAACACGCTGCCAGGCAACATCCTTGAGAAACCGCCACATTCTATGATGGCTTCAAACGGACTTGCAGCCCTTAACCCTAAACTTAAAACCCCAAACCCATAAACCCCGAACTCCCTAAAGCCTCGAAGGGTTGGACTCAGCGGGCCCAAGACAGAACCCCGTTGCTCTATAAGCCCCTGAAGCTCACACAGAAAGATCAGTTCAATACTCTTCGGTCTTATCCTATCTTGTAGAATATCCTAAACCCTCAACCCTAAACCCCAAAGCCTCCTAAATAAACCCTATCCCTAAACCCTCAACCCCAAAGCCTCCTAAACTTACCCTAAACCCTAAAACCGAAACCTTTGCTCAATCGAGTGGCAGGATCGTCTGCGTGGTGCTTGCCGAGCTGTGGACCTCAATGCCGAACCCAGGCAGATCAGGGTTCCTTTAATGTAAGGATCCGTTCGAGACCAGACCCAAGAGTAACCTAGGAATAAAAAGGGTGCCCTTTTTTGGTTTAAAGGGGCTTACAAGGGAGCCTAAAGCCTAAAAAAGGGAATAAGGGCCCACTCTTGGTCCTAGAAGAGTGTTTTGAAGGATTCCTAGGAAGGTTCCCATCCAGTGCTACTACAAGGATCGTTTTGTTTTGGGTTTTTTGTTTACGGTTTAGGATTTAGGGGCTTCGATTCAGCGAGTAGGGTTGAGGCTTAGGGGTTGGGAGTTCAAAGTTCTTACGGTTGAGAGTGTTGGCTTCAGGATGTTTGACTTAAGGGTATAGAAGGACAGCAATTTTGCGTCGAGAAGTCATCAAGCATAATATGGGGGGCCATGTACCTGCGAATATTTACGAGTTTGGGGTTCTTTATTGTAAGTATAGTATGATGTACCTCGCAATCCTAGTTTACTTATCATTGAGGCCCCTGTACTATCAGGCTCCACCTTGGGGTTAAGGGCTCAATCTGCGCGTCACCACGGAAAGGCTTCGGCGCTCAACCCGAGTACCCGAATTCTGAGGCTCCCCTGAATATACCAGAATGTCACAGGGACTCTTTGGTCGTGAGCATGAGGCCGTTGTGGGGGAAGTAGTTCACCACTTTCTTCCGTCCTTCCCAGCTGTACCAGAGGAAGCCGAGGTTCTTGGCCAGAGCAGCATTGCCGGCGCTCACCAGCATGTTGACGATCCCCATCGCCGTCTGCTCTGTCCAGCCACCCGCCGGCGGTGTCTGGGACGGTCGCCAGTCCCCTTCCAGGACAAAGAAAAGTGTCTGGGCCAGCCGGGGTAGGGGGACGGGGGGTAAGGGGCCTTACTGTCCATAATAAGGACTTAATAAGGCCAATTTAAGGAAGTATAGTCCCCTACCTCCCCCCTTACCCCCCTAAAGGTCCCTATGAAGAATGACCCGGCTACTGCATCAACTCATGTCGATCTGCTTGCGCAGTCAAAGTTGATGATGACTTATTGATTTTAAAGACAAATTATCATTGATAACAAGATCTTGTAGGTCAGAGGAGCTCTTGTAATTTGTAGTACATGTGCAAACCTACGACCGTTCAAAAGCCGCTTCGGCTCTACGGAAACTCTGGAAGGGTCTAGCGATTTTCTGAAACACCGTATCAGCATATGCTAGACCAAATGCAAAAGTCTACTACAGCATGTACCTCTCACAGTGTGTAAGTGAACCCTAAACCCTAAACCCTAAACCCTAAACCGTGCGCTTACCAACCGCAAAACTTACAGCTACTCCTGTCCTGGTCCGTCGTGGCCAGGCTGCTCGGGTCCAAATCCAAAGCTTCAAGCCCGACTAGGCTCCTGAGTAACCCCTTCCTGGGGATCCAAAAACCTACCGTTTTAAAGGTTCTACGCTCTAACTAGGGGGTCATAACCTACTATTTTGTAGGGTTTGGAGTCACAGGTTTATAATAAGGATACTTTGTTCCCTGATATTCAGTTTCCCCTTTTCCTAATATTCAGTTTCAAGAAGGGGGCCCTAAACCGAAAAGTGCAAAAGGGTACTACTTAGGAACCTAGCTGAAGGTTCGAAGTCCACTTAACCTTCGTAGTAAATCATACATCCACTCCTCAGTCTAACTAGAGGACACTGCAAGACCCCCGGAGAGCAAGGCACCAACCCCGAACCCCAAACCCCCAAAACCCTTAGCCTAAACCCCGGACCCCGACGCTTGGACCCCTAAACCCTAGAGCCCCTGAACCCTGAACCCCAAACTCCAAACCAGGGTCCCCAGCAACGCCGTCTGGCTTGAGCGCATCCAACGCATCGGAGTTCATCTGATAGAGCAAGGACAGCTCCTGCAGAATCGGGTTCTCGGTTGTCGGGAACACTTTACGTGAACAAAACCTACTTGTGTAAGGTCTGTATATTTCAAAATTATCATTATGTAGCATGGTAGAATTATGTAGTGTGGTAGAGTATGATGGTAGCAGTTCAGGGCAAGCTTAGGGTCGGGTTAGGGAGTTTGCTGTTGGAGATCATGGGCACAGGATCGACAAGCGAGGTCCATTGATGCGGGGGCATGGGGTGTGGGAAGGTGGCAGAATCGAGGGTCTTCGTGGAGGTCCAAAAATAATGAAACTGTGTGAACGTGTGTAGAGTTTAGGGCCTATAAAGGGAACTCCAGAAAGTTGGAATATGGTTTCATGGTAGGATCCCCTATAATTTACCTTAAAGGGGCTACGATAATGATATTCCAACTTTCTGGCTTCTACTGTAGGGTGTGGTAACAGCGTAGTAAGGATTTTTGCAGTTGCAGATAAGGATCCAAGCACTCGGGTCGAGGGCGTTGCCTCTCACGCTTCAAGTTCCTGGTCTAACCCCAAGGGTCCAAAGGACCCAATAATCAGGTACTCGGTTTTAGGATAGTAGTTATGTAGGTTAGGATTTTGAAGAGTATATGATTATTGGGTACTTGGACCCTTGGGGTAACTTGCTAAACAGCTGTGAACATGTTGACGCAGTACAGCTCCATCTCAATCTGGCGAAATGTCGATGGTACCACCCCGGCATTCCAAGTGCCCATGCCTGTCATCAAAGGGCTGGGAATCGAGAACATCTCTGTCACACAGATCTCATCCTTCAGGAAGCGTGTGTTGATGTGAAGGGGCTCTTGGTCGTTCACCGTCAACTTTGCCTTGATCTCCCTCCCTGGGTGTCCGAACAGGAACAAAGCATAATGGTTGCTTTTGGACGACTCTCCGCCCAGAGGGTAGAGCTTCAGGTAGAAGCTGCGACGAGGCAACCCAAATCCAGGAAAGCCAAAGTAGCGACTAGAGCAGGACTGACCCTTTTCCCACTTCTTTTCATTCATCCACTCCAGGTTCCACACGGCGACATCTAGCATTCCCCAGCGGTCGTGGGGCTTTCCGTTGTAGATACCTTTGCATGTTTCGACCAAGCCAGCAGTTCGCTCTACGACATCGACGGCTTCAGAGGGCGTCCACAACCGTCGGAACTTGGGCGTAAAGAGCAGCTGGGAACACTTGCCTACTCCCATCTGCCTCCATGGGAGCTGTGGCAGCATGTCGAACGGACTGGGCAGCTGTTGCGCGCACTTGAGAATAAACGTCTGCGCACACACACACACACAACACTCATGCTGGACTCATGCCCGTTTGCTTGGACGATCGCTAGGATTCCCAAGTGGAGTCACCTAGCTTTGGGCTTGCTGATGGCTTCGCATTGCCGCTCACAGCATGGAAACCCAAGAAGCCCAAGACGCGAACCCTGGAACACCCTCCCCAGATACGATGATTAAGGCCCTAAAATTATAGTACCCTTGTAGATCCCTTCTGGTAGCCCCTAGAGACCCTTTACAAAGAGGGTCTGAAGTGAAGCCGGTCACCAGTCTACTTGGGGTTCTAAGTCCCCTCTGATGGGGGTTATAACTTATAACCATGGTTACCCCAAAAAAACCCAACTTATTGTTTGGTATGATAACTTATTATAGCCATATTTACCCTAAATATAACCCAACTTATTATTTGGAGGTGCTTTTAAAGCTATTGAGAAATAATAGCAGGTAAGACTAAGATCCTCTTAAGCCCAATAAGGGCAAATATAAAATGTCCCAAAGCCCTACCTGGTTATAACTACCCATGAACCCCAAGTACGGTCCAACATACGTCTGTTGAAGAACATTCATGCGGAAATCTGCGAATGCACAACTCCAGACCACGATCATCGTCTGGAATTTATCCGGTACGGTACTGAAGCCTAAACCCTAGACCCTAAACGCTACATTAAACCCTAAAACCTTACAGTAAACGGAAACCAAACTTGCAGCATTGTAGCCGTCGCAAACAAGCGGACCTGGAAAGTCCCACTCCCACGCAACTACGAACAAAAAGCCGAAACTCCCAAGCCCTAACACCTCACACACCCTCAAGCCTCAAACCCTAAACCCTAAACCATTATGCATCCTTGATCATCTCGTTGTGCTTGACCATATCCGTGTGGAGGATAGCTGCGATGATTCCCCGGCCTTGGCTTCGGTCACTTGCCTTCTAAAGCCCAAACTAAACCCGAGAACCCTAAACCCCAAAACCCTAAACCCCAAGCCCCTAACAGGCAGAGTCTTTGAGGATTTCGGGTCTGGCGCTTCGAAATTCAAGGTTTACAAGGTTCAGGATTTGAAGTTCAGGGCTGAGGGTTTAAATGGAGGAGCAACAATACGGTAGATGATATAAATCCTGCATTACCCATAATAAGGAATATACCATAATTCCCATAGTTTAAGGTCCTTAGGGTAATGCAGGATTTATATCATCAACCGTAGGTTTCCGGCCCCTGTGAGCAACAGCCGAGCCCTTATACAGCCCCAAATTCAAAGAACCTTTTGGAAGCAAAATGTCAAGCTGCAGCCGAAGCAGGATAAGACCTCTGCTTAAAGCCGTAGTAGGCCTAAGCTACAACTCCGAAAAATCAGCACGTCTGAGATCTGGAGTTCCTAATTTCTATGATCATAATAAGGAGCCCCTCGAATGTCTGTGACATAGTTTCTGGCAGAGCAGTGAAACCTTCCCTGTCTTGGAGCTTGGCGCATGTCCTTGTAGGTCTCCTGTGCAAAGGAGGGGAGAGGTGTTCGCGCACTTCGGGTTCAGGGCTTAGGGTATAGGAATGTTACAGGTTCCAGGGTGGAGGAGTTTCGGTTCATTTTTGCAAGCTGCAAGCTCATACCCAGTTTGATTCTGTGTCGCCGGCGAGGGCACATATCGGGAAAGCATGGATGGGCTGCGTTCAGTCGCGAGACAAAGCTCAACACAGCCAGCCCTTTTTGCGGGGTTCAGTGTTTCGTTGATGCGGTCGGCAAGCCTCACCTTCTCACGGTGATTCCTCTGCAACTCCCACACCGCCAGAGGCTTGAGGTCACTTTTCTTGATACCGGGCTGGTCACATTCATCTCAGTAGCCTTAAACCGTTATAGGTGTAATGTTGTGATGTTCACCATCGGGAAGGCAACCGTCACTTCTGTCATCGTCGACATCAACTTTAACAACCACATGCAGCTTCAGCATCAGCACCACTATCATGTTCATGCCCTCAGATGTAGGGGTGTCTTTCTTCCGAGCGCTTTAGGGTTTTGGGTTTAGGCTTTTGGGCTTAGGGTTGAGAGTTTAGGGTTTAGGGTTTAGGGCTTAGGGTTTTGGATTTAGGGTTTAGGGTTTGGGGCAGAATCGTAGAGAGGGAGAAGGAGCCCAATCGTTTTCTTTGTGGAGGACTTACCTTTGGTTAGTAGGGAATGGAAGAATGGTAGTAATAGCAGTTATAATTGTACCCCATTCCTCCATTCCCTACTAACTCAAGGTAAGAGGGATCGGGGGGCTCAAGCACTTAAAACCCCGGCTATACCAGACTTGACAAGTCCAACCTTCTCCACGTGGGATTCGGGGTCGGGCCTATAGTATGATTATTCTTCTGATGGTGGTATATTGTAACTGCTAGTATTTAATTTTCAAAGTTCTTATTCATATTGTTGTTGTTATTCGTTCAAAACACACCTGCCGTGTTGACCCTCAGCGCGACCTTGTCCACATTGGCGAAGACGTTTGTTTCGGCACTCGAGTTCACGACCTGGAAGAGCCTCATTGCGGTGAGGAGCTTAGGTTCGCGGGTTTAAGGCTTTGGATCTAATTAGGATTCAGGGTACAGGGCTTAGGATTTGAGGCCTGACTAGGTTTCAGGGTTTGGTTTAGGATTCAAGGCTCAGAGATTCCGCAGCCTCTGATCAAACAGCGAAACGACTGGAGCCGCCTCTACAGTCGATGGCCAAGACAATGTCGACAGAAAACCCGAACAATTGTAAATGCCTAAATGCCGTCTTAAGTACAAGTAGACTCTAGTATACCCGGAAGCTCCATTCAGGAAAGTGGCGTCGCGCAGTGCATGTTCTCCAGAGGAGATCGATCCTGGGATCGAAATGAATCGTGGCCCAGAGCCTACTGGCGGTTTCTTAAAACTTAAGTGTACCCCAATGATGTGTGCCACTATCTGCCCCGAACACCCTTAAGGGCACCCTTGCCCCTTTGGTCGCTTGGAGGGCTTTAATGAATAGGGCATGAGGCTTAGTCCCAGGGCGTGGGAACCGGGGCCTGGCAGGGCTCTACAAAATGTTCTGGTTTAGGATTTTTTTTAAAGCTCTTCTTTCCAGGGGGCTTTGGTTTTGGTTTAGGGTTTGGGGTTTTGACTGAGAAGGCACGAAATGCAGACTTCGGAGGAGAGGGGTTCGTGTCAGTCCACTCTCAGTCATTCAGAGTCCGTGGTTCAGATTAGCGCTGTAAGGCCCAACCCTCAAATCTACACGGGCTTAGAGCTCAGCCACATGTTTCCTGACTTAGTGTCAAAAGGGGCTCGGGACTCTAGCTGCCTTCTTCTGTCGAAGCTGTGAAGGTTTTTTGAATTTGGCTTGCAGCCGGGGCTTGGCAGTGTAGCCCTACCACAAGCTGAACTACCGAAAATCCCCTGAATCCCCCAAGCTTTCGGGCATTGTCGGCTCTGAGTGGGTTGGGAACCTCAGGGAATGCTTGGCAGAACCAAGATTACAAGCCCCTCATCGTTCTTGGAGGCGAGGTGCGTTGTACTTGACAGCAACCTCGTGGTTGGTCTCGACCAGGAACTGGTTGTTCACACCTCGTGGGCTTCGGAATGTTTACGCTGCTATAAGCGCCGCATAACTATTCTACAAGGGTCCCATAAGCGCGAAGCAGTCTCGATTAGGGAGTTTCCGCAAATAGGAGACCCTACTATAGGACCCTAAATAGTAGGATCCTTATTATAAGGACCCCCAAAAAAGGGTACCCCTATTTTCGGAAACTCCCATTAGAGTTTGGGGTTTAGCTCCGGTGCTTTAGACTTCCAAAGTAGCTACACCTTCAGAGCTTCAAGGAGCTTGGGGTTTTATTGCTTCAGGGTTTGGCGGCTCTTTATCAAAACTATATGGGTAGCTATCAAAATCAGGGTCCCCTTTTGGACACCCTAAAGATTGGGTGCCGTATCATTTTAGGGACCCGAAAAGGTGGCATAATTTGGACAACCACCCATATGGTACAGTAACCCCTATTCTAGCTTTCAAGGCCCTCATGTTGCGTAGATGTTGGAGCTCTAAAAAAAGAGCCCTCGCCATGGATGAGAAGCTGGGCAAGAGCCTGGCAACAAGGAGCCTCAAGGGGGCAGGACTTGCCTGCAGAAAACCAAACTTTTCGAGGAACGATCTATGGAGAACCTTTAACCCTAAACCCTAAACCCCTAAACCACCATTCATCAAAAAGCCACCGAAAAGCTGGGTTGTACAAGGTGCTTACGAGTCATGGCTTGGAGGTCTCAGGGTGTCAGGTCTAGGGTTCAGGCCGCTGTGGTGTGGATTTCAGGGTACCCCCAAGCTTAGGAGTCACCCAAAGCTAGTTATTCAGATGCTGCCATTATTCCCCAGAGTCGGACCCATAGACATACTAAACACATATTATATGGAATGTCATGTCTACATGTATCTATGTATGCATGTATGTATCATGCATTGGGATGCCCAAACCACCATACGCAAAAAGGATGAACAACATTGACCAAGAAATCGGACCAAAGCAACACCTGGAAGCCTAACCCCAAGTCCGAACCCCTCAACCCTAAAACCCCAAACCCCCGGCCCTGAAACTCTGAAACCCTGCACAGGGGACTCTTGTAGTATCCTTAAGGGAGGGGGGTCCAAGGGGGGTATATAGCCTAGTGATCCCTAGTTCTCCCTAGTACTCCCTAAGGTTCCCTTACAGTTCTTTAAGGATTACTTATACCCTCCCCCCTTGAACCACCCTCCCTTAAGGATCCTATAAGACTCCCGACCTAGATGTCCCAAGTCGTGGCCGATGGAGGCAATGAGCAGCCAAAACCTCGGAACATCACCAGGAGCCCGGGATGGTGGGTCTTCGTTGGGTACGGCCCCATACAGTAACCTAGGAGACCCAGTAACTTAAGAATAAAAAGGCATCTCTTTTTGGTATTGGGTAACTGTATAAGGAAACTAGGACTACATCCTAGTAACATAGGGTTTAGGGTCTAGGGTACAGTTTATAATAGGGCTACTATAAAGGTCCTTATATCTCTGTATTTAAAAATAGTACCCAACTGTTACTGGGTGCGGGCAGTACCCAAGGTCTTCGTTGTGTTCAAGGTGCTTTGGCCTTTCTCCGCATGAGGACAAGGGTTCTTCCTGCCCCCCCAATTGGGGATACACGGGTTTAGGGCTTACCCATAGGCCCCAAAGTAAATCTTTTTTGGGATCACTCTTCTAGGATTCTGTATATGAACCCCCAAAAGGAACTACTTTGGGGCCTTAGGGTGGAGCTTGAGTTGTTGTTGGGAGTTTGGGGGTTCGGGGAAAAGGCCTCAAAGCGCTCCAAGAAATGAGAAGGAAGGCTTAAGGCGTTTGGGGCCTTGAGGCCTCTAGGTCTACAACACTTCTACTTGGAGGTTCATGGGCAATTATAATTGGGCCTATAATCAGCGTAAGTATGGTTATAATACCCCCTATTAGGGGACTTATGACCCCAGTTATAGCTACCCATGAACCTCCAAGTAGGGTGTAGAGGGCTTCTTGTGATAAGGCTTGTTGAGCTTGTGGTAAAGTAAAAGCCAGAAAGTTGGAATATGATTATCCTAAACCCTCTATGGTAAATTATGAGGTATCCTACCCTGAAACCATATTCCAACTTTCTGGAGTCCCCTAAAGCATCCTTGGGCCCAAGGGCCCTGCTGATACATTTCGTGAAAACATCCTGACACGATGTCAGCTATGGTACATTTGGGAGTCTCCGAGAACAGGGGACCCTAATATAGTACCCCAAATAGTAGGATCCTCATTATAAGGACCCCTGGAAACCCCCATTTTCAGGCCCCAAAGCAAAGCCCCCTACAAAACCTCAAAAGAAAGCGTCAGCAGGACGGAAAGCATAAGACTTCATCACCTTGGCTCCCTTGTTGAGGTGTTCGCAAAATCAAGTTTTGGACCAAGCTTGACTCCCCAAACCCTAACCCCCAAACCCTTACCCCTAAACCCTAACCCTTAAACCCTAAACCGTAACCCTTAAACCCTAAACCGGAAACCCTTCAGCAGGGGCACTGCGATGTCTCCGTGAGGAGAGCCTCCAAGTTCGTCAGCCTTTCGATCCCAGAGACTCCTAGGGTTCCTTTAAAGGGATCTACAAGGGCTCCTTTAAGGGATCCTAAAAGGGGTTTAGAGGGTTTAGGGTTTAGGGGACTCCAACATCCCTTAATTAAGGAATATACCTTAAATCAGATTAGGGATCTTACCATAATTTAAAGTATACTCCTTAAGGGTCTTTCAAAGAGGAAAAGGAGGGACACTTGATGGGGACCCCTACCCTATAATGGGCTATAAAATCGGTATATAATAGCTATATTAAGGGTATATACCTAGGGGTCCTTGTTAAGGGTCCCTCCTTTTACCCTTGGACGAAAAGGTGGGCTCAAAGTAGCTGGGGAGAAATCCTTGGTCCTACTATGCCCCTTCAACCCACCTTTGAGGGCTTCGCTCTGAATTCAAAGCCTTGGTTAAGATACGGGAGAAATAGTAGGATCCTTCTATTTCGTGTTTAGGGTTTAGGGATTCAGTTATTATAAGGACCCGAAAATAAGGTACCCCCTTCTTTTCAGAAACTCCCATACACCTGCCTGCAGGAGCGCGAGACTGAATAGAGGACCTGGGATTCTGCAGGCACAGGGGCGGAGCTAAGGAGCCTCCTGGGGGCCTCATATAGTTATAGGAGCCTTAACAACTAGAGTAGGGCTCCTTTAAAGGAGCCCTTTAAGGGTTACTGTAAGGGGGTTGCAAGGGTACTTTTTAATGCAGAGGCCTTAAAATTAGAGCAGGCTTTTGGGCTCCTTTATAGCATAAGTATATAACAAGGGACCCTTAGGTAGGGTTAGGGTTAGGGTAGGGTTTAGGGGTTTGGGGGTTTGGGGGTTTGGGGGTTTAGGGGTTTAGGGTTTGGGTTTAGGAGTACCCATAGCCCGAAACCCTCACAAGGCTTCGGGCCATGGGCAAGATGAGGGTTGGTGTTATCGCAACAGCCAAATGGGAGTTTCCGAAAATTAGGGGGTACGAGTACCTTATTTCGGGTTCCTTATGATACGATAGGGATCCTATTATTTTTTGGAAACTCCCAATCCCCGAACCCTAAACACCAGACCCACATGATAGTTCAGGGTTTAGAGTTTGAAATGTAGGGTTTAGGTCTTAGGGGGCCGAAACCCGCAGCTGAGTTCGCCACATCCAAGCCGTGCGAATAGTTGTGGAAGGGGTTCTCCGAGGGATACTTGGCCTGCGCATCGGAAGGTGATGGGCTTTTGTAGGTTCCCCAAGATTTCTTAGAGGATACCCTAAACCCTAGTTAAACGAGTAAACCCTATGCTTTAGGCTTAGGGTGTTGGGCACTCTCTCTCCTTGGCGTGGACTGGACAACAACACATACTTGACGGGGTCTTTCGCTTACGGAGGGTCCGCAGATTAGCAAGGAGCTACGTTCTGATGTAGGAACCTAATCCAGAAACCTTGGGCCTTTATTTGGGTTCCTTGTTATGAACTCTACTATCTTGGGGTTCTAGACCCAGAGTTGCTTATCCAGGTTCCCACATCAGGCTGCATGTCAGGGGCCCCTTTTTGTTTCATGGAGGGCTAGACTTGATCCGTCCTAAAGTTTAAAGAGCTCAAGCCCGAAGGCTCAACGACATACCAAAGCGCCTCCGCCGCCGACATGAACTTGAAGATCGTCGCCTCTTGTACGTGCTCTCGCACCTGAGCTCACATGGAGTCTCGAAAATCAGGTGCCCGTGACAAAGCCCTTAAAACGATTCGTCTCCTAAACAAAGCCTGCACAATTTTGAGTCCACATCATGCTTTAGGACTCCTCTTGACATAATTCGGCTAGAATATGAGATTCATGACCTCTTAGTCACTCTGTTTCGGCGCAGGAAACTGATAGGATTAGGGCAGCCATGCGAAGGCAGATGAAGGATGACCATAACATGAACAGTCTTAGAAATGTTGGTTTTTGTTCAATTCCCGCCCATGCTCCCCTCAACCCTTCCCTCTCCCTACCTCTCCCTCCCGCCCCATCTCCCGCCCACTCTCTCTCTCTCTCTCTCTCTCTCTCTCTCTCTCGCTCTCTCTCTTCTTCCTCTCTCTCTCTTCCTCTCTCGCGCGCGCTCTCTCTATATATATGTGTGTATGTAGACGTACATTCTATATATATATATATATACACACATAATGTACGCACAGTTCACGCGAGTAGCCACTGACACAAGTAACATGACTGTATAGGTACTCAGAGGATTGCATGCCTTTAGTATGCTCATTACGGAGGGTTTCTCTCAGCGGTACGGTAGGAGCTTACTAACTTCTGGACGGTCTATGGGTATACAATACTGTACTTACAATAGGGACGTTATTGCATACCGTTGCCAGTTCTCCAGACGCCGATAGTATCTTCAACAGGGTTCCACAGAGAGTTTTAAGGGTTTTTGCGCTGCATGTGAGCACTGGCATGCTTCGACCTGTCGATCTTCCTCCTCACCCACTTAAGCTATTGAGGCAATTTTTTCGTCCACACATACTTGCATGCATGCCTACATATTCTACATATACATACATACATTACATTAAAATACATTGCATTACATTACATACATAGATGCATGCATACATACATACATACATACCCACATACATACTGTACATACCTACATACATACATACACACATACATACATACACAGTATACAGACACATACTTGCACACATACATTACAGACAGACAGCCAGCCAGGCAAGACAGACATGCATGGCATGATAGCATGCACGCATGCATACATGGCGAACACATGGATGGATAGACAGATCGACAGAGAGATGCGACGCAGATTTCCTTAACACGTAAAAAGCTACAGCAAGCATGCTGACGTGAGCACATTAAAAATAACATGCGAAACCGGTCATGGCAAAAGTACGAGGAATTTCGCAGATCCGATACGAGACCCATACAGTCTGCCCCTACAGCTCAAGTGTGGCCAGCTGACGCAAGCTTTCAACTCTGACAGATCTGAAATAAATGAGCCTTAGAAAAGCCGGAAGCAACCTGGATAGAACCCCAATAAAACCCTAACGAGGCCCCAATGGAACTATGTTGGAGCCTTAAACCCTTACCCCTAAAAAGCCCGAGCCTTAATCCCTACACCGACCCTAAAATCTGAAAGGCCGTAACCTTAAACCCTAAACCCTAAACGGTCCTAAAGCTTCAACCCCTGAGCCCTTAAAAGGCCCTGAACTTCTAAACCCTACGTTTTAGGGTTTAGGGCTTTAGGGTTCTAGGGTTTCGGGTTTTAGGGTTTTCCGGTTTAGGCTTAGACCCCAAACCCTAAACTTAAAAAAAGCGCCGCCCTTCGCTTCACAGCCGCAAAACCGGCAGCCGAGGGCGGGGCCCAATTGGCGCAGCCGTCATGGACCCAGGTCTGGAGGTTCGAGGGTTTGGGGTTGACGGTGTAAGGCTCTTTTTTAAAGTGCAGTGACCTTTCTCTGGGCTTTAGGGTTCACGGTTTAGGGGTTAGGGTTTAGGGATTTAGGCTTCTATTAGAGGTTTAGGGTGTTTTGGATGAGTTTGGGGGTTCAAGGTTGAAGGTTTAGGGTGCAATTAGTGGAGTGTTGGTTGTTTCGGGGCTTTTTACACGTCTGTATGCAAGAGCTTTTCAAGGGTGATAGTCGCCTTTGCCTTTCTTGGTGGTTGAAGGGTTTGTTAGTTTTTCAGGGTTTCCGCAGTGTCGGGCTGGCTTGGAGTCCCAGTTGGTGCAAGGGTCGATCTGTCCAACAGGAAGCGGTGGTGGTGAGAACTGTTTCACTTCCGACCCTCACAGTCGGAGGCGGGGGGAGGTTAGGGTTGGGGGTCTGAAGGCCTTTTCAAGCTACGCCATAGCTACACCCTCACGGAAGAAGCGTGCAGCCCACGGGCCTTGCGTAAGTATAACCTCTGTGGAACCTTCATAGACTCATAGACCCTTTGTAGAAGCCTTACTTCTAGACTTCGCGACTGCAACGGACATCGACTTCGAGTGCCCCGACCACGTAGGTGGCGATGGCAATCTTCATTTCCGAGCTCTGATCCAGCCTTGAGAGGTGCCGGGAGGTTTCGCATTTCGGGGTGTTATGTAAGGCCGCTGCGAGGGTTCTATAGGGTGCTCCTAAATACGGGGACCTGAATAATTAGAATAGGGCTTTGGGGCCCGTTATACTGTACCTATAATACACCAAAACAGTATTGGTAATTATTTAGGCCCCTTCTATCGGGGCTTGTATGGACTCTGCCGGGGTGTTCGAAGGAGCTCAAGAAATGCGTCGGGATTTGGGGTTCAGCAGTCTCAGGCTCAGGGACTGCAAGAAGCAAGAAGCTGTTGCTGTTATGGTAGGGTTCTATAAACTTAGGGGGCTTAACATTTAGAATACCACTATACTATACTTATCATAAGAATTTATCACGGGTTGGGGGATTTGGTCTACAGGGCTTCGGAACTTGCTGCGCTCCAAGTTGAATTTTGCTGGAAAATGGTCTTCAGTTCCAGAAAATGCGCAAAAGCCAGGCAGGATCCTTATGGTAAGGACCCTTGATGACTCAATGCCCCTTAGTTGCCGGGCTCATCAGCCCCAAAACGTGCACACCGTTAGTTCTATAGTGGGTGATACTATCCCAAAACATTCAGAGTGTATCCGCTCAGCTACTTAGCCTATTGTAAGGACCCTTGACTCACTGCGGCTACTTCGCCGAAGTGTCGTGGATGCCTAAACCGTATATAAACCCTTTCAGTGAGCCCTAAACCTACACCCTGAATACTAAAACCTAACCCCCGTACAAGGCCCAAATCCTAAACACTACCCTTAATTACAACTTAAAGGCCTTATACTAACCCTTAACCTCCTCTAACTACACTTCCACGCGGAACAACTATCAAAGTCTCGATTTTCCCAAATTCGAAACTAGGGGTACCTTATGTAGGGGTCCTTATAATGAGGATCCTACTATTTAAGGTACTATTTTTGGGTCCCCTATTTTCAAAGCGGGGGTTCCGAGATGTTCCGAGGCCCCCGGCGCGTTGAAGTCGGGTCCATTGAGCTCCTGTCGGGATTTTGGGTTTAGGGCTTGAAGGGTTTAGCGGTTTAGGGTTTAGGGCTAAGGGGTTTGGGGCTTAGGGTTTAGGGCTTGAAGGGTTCAGCGGCTTAGGCTTTAGGGAGTTGAAGTTTTGGGCTTAGGGCTTCAAGGGAGTTAGCGGTTTAGGCTTTAGGGGTTTGGGGTAGTTTAGGGTTTAGGCGGCTTGGGGCTTGAAGGGTTTAGGGTTTAGCTCTTTGGGACCAGCACACAGGCTCGAGGACTCAGTTGGGGTGCCAGCTGCTACCGAACCTGCAGCCCTCAGCCCTGGGCCCTAACCCCTGGGGTCCTTGGACCCCAGGGGCCCGGAACCCCAAACCATAAACCCCTAAACCCCTGAACCCTCAACCCCTAGACCCCTGAACCCTTAACCCCTGAACCCCTAAACCCTAAACCCCTAAAACCCTAAACCCCTAAACCCCTGAACCCGAAACCCCCAAAATCGAAGCCTCAAACCCAAGAGCCCCTGCGACTGTACGGCTTAGGGGCTTAGGGTGCAGGGTTTTGGCTTTAGCGGGGTCTAGGGGGGTTTAGGGGGTTTAGGGGGGTTTAGGGGCTCAGGAGTTTGAGGTTTAGGGGGGTTTAGGGGGGTTTAGGGGTTTAGGAGTTTGGGGGTTTGGGGTGCAGGGTTTAGGGTTTAGGAAGGTTTACTCCGAGCCCGAAAGCGTAGAGACCCTGACCTCGAACACCCCAAACCCTAACACACCCCTAGCCTAAACCCTGGACCCTCAAACCCTAAACCCTACACTCCAAACTAAACCCAACAGCCCCCTAAACCCTGAGCCCTAAAATCCTAAACCCTAAAGCCCTGAATCAGAGCCTCAAGGGTGCCCATGGGGATCTTCGCAGTGTAAGTGGAAAGATCCTCCCAAGAGCGGGTTCTTCTTCAGGAAGTTTACGTAAGTTACCACACTTTAATTTTAATTCTATAGCACATAATAATTACTTGCGTGGTTCCTTTACCCAAGTTACAAGAAAAAGGATCTATAGTAATTGAATGATACCTACCTATGTCCTATATGTGGTTTCCCTTAAGTATGATCGCGACACCAGAAGAGCGGCGAGGGCTGGGTCTCCCCGGGCTGCGGGGGCTGTGCACACTCCGGCATCGAGGCAAATGATCATGCGGCTCTGTCCGAAGCTATGGCCTTTTAGACAGACTCCAGGTACGCTTCCCACCTATAACGAGGCATCCTGATCCCCCTTATAGGCTATACTATAACTATAAGGAGGTTTTGGGGGCATGCTTTATGCTTTACTATAACTATGTGGGGGAACCCCAGGGACTAAGAAATTCGTTGGGGTAGATCATATACCGTTTGTTGTATGTTATGTCATAGCTACAGTCACATAAAGTTGGAAACCGGATTAAGGCCAAACAGTGCTGGGACTCTTTATACATGACTCTTAAGGACTTAGTCTATTGGATTTCCAACTTGTGGGCCTCTACTGATTAAGAAACCTTGGGCCTTTATTAGGGCTCTTTTATATGAATCCTACTATTTGGGGTTTCTTAATCAGGTTCCTACATTACTTTAGGGAACCCTCAGGGCGGGCCAATAAACCCCAGAAAGCTGGAACATGGATTTAGGATTTCGGATTCCCTCGACTTTACCTTATGGGCATGAGGATAATGATGTTCCAACCTTCTAAGATAAAGGTAAAGCTGGATAAGCTGACTTACCACTTTCGTACCAAGGCTCAGGTTTGAACCCTGACTAACAAACTTAAGATGTTTTGAGCCGCATCCCCTGGCCCGCTCCCTCAAGCCTAAAAAAACAGTGGGAGTTTCCGAAAATAGGGGACCCTAATGTAGTACCCTAAATAGTAGGACCCTTATTGTAAGGACCCCCAAAGTAAGGTACCCCTACTTTTCGGAAACTCCCAAACCCTAAACCCAGAGATCCCTTATAGGAACCCTTAAAAGGAATCCTTATAGATCCCTTTTAAGGTACCCCGAATTTTCGGAAACTCCCACGTATGAGCCTTTGGACCCCTAGACCGCGAGCCTGAACACCCCAGAACTCCGGTTGCCTTCCACACTCTCAACTGAGGAGTTACTCCCTAAACTCTTTACCTTAAAACCAAAACTTGAAAACTTAAATCCTACATCTCAGCCCCTAAACTCTAAACCCTCGGCCTGACGCCTTTAACCCTCAACCTCAAACCCTAAACAACCCGGGAACTTGACTTTACGTACTCGCTTGCCTTCCCGCGCGGGGTCTGCACTGCCAGCATCTGGCTTCGGTCTTCTTCGTCCTCGTGGCAGGACAACATAGGAACCTGATTAAGAAACCTTGCATCTTTGCATGAAGTCTAGCTTTTAATAGTTCGGGGTTCTGGGACCAGGGTTTCTTAATCAGGCTCCTACATCAGGGTTCCTTTAAGGGTTCTGCCAAGGATTCTTTTGGGAAAGCTATAAGGATTATTCTTGCAAGGGTTGCTACTGCAGGGGTTTAGCACAAGGGCCTTATCACATGGAATGCTTGTTTTGGGGTGTGACATGTTTGACTATAACTACATATAGGAACCGGAAGGAGCAAGCCTGACAATTATTCAGGCTTCTATGCTAGTATAGTGGAGGTGATCATAAACCTTTAACCCTAAACCCTAAACCCTAACCTAAACCGAGCCTAACCCCATCTAAAACTCAACCTGAACCACTGAACGCTTGAAAGGGTAATGCATTAAAACAGCCCAGATAAAAGGGAAACCTTGAATAGGATTGACGACATCTAGTGCCCCTGCTGAACCCCTACACCCAGACCCCCGGGAGGATCTAGAAAGTAGATCCCCTAATTTGTACCCCCAAACTACTAAGGGTACTTTATAGCAACCCCCATTAAGGGATCTACTTTTTGGATCCTCCCTGGGGTCTGGGTATAGGTCCCTTCTAGACCCCCTTTTATTCTGGGGAACTTGGCTTGACCCGTTGAGCTCCGCACTCAGGCGCGAGTCCAGCAAGAAAACATAAAACCCCTCTTGATAGGGTCCGACGAAGGATGTGGTAAAGGTGCTTTCCAAGTTCAAGGTTGTGTCGTTTTCGAGATCCTACAAGCTCTACGCGGTTGTATGGGCAGACCCGTGAGCAAGAAACCTCACAAACCGTCGAGAAACCTGCAGAACCCATTGCATTGAACCCCAACACCCTCCATCCAAACTCACCATCCAGACGCCTCCTTCAAAACTCCCGATTCTTTTGCCACAGAAGCACATGCATGCCCCCTCTACATGGCGTAAGCATGTATGCACGTATGTAAGTATCTAGGTACGTCTGTATGTACAGACTAGATACAGTGTAAACGAAAGTAGACATATGCATGTACGTATGTAGGTGCATTTGTACGTGCGCACACATGTTATGTATGCTAAACCTCCTGGGATTCACTGTAATGTCGCAAACCCCGAGCTTAGCCCCCGACGCCCATGGCTCTCCTGCTACCGGCAGTCGTGGGATTTGTGGTTTAGGGTTTTCTCTTAGGGTTTAGGGTTAAGGGTGTTTTTGAAGATGCAGTTTAGGGTTTAGGGCTTAGAGCTGAGAAGCTTTAGGGCCAAGGGTTTTGGCGGGGGGAGGGTTTCGTAGCTTGAAGGTTTGGGCTCTGGGGTTTGGGCTCTGGGGTTTGGGGTCTCGGGTGGGGGTTTAGGGTTTTGGAGCTTGCGACGTGGGGTTCGGGCTTGAGTACTTGATGTAGTATGCGTTTTCATGCAAGGTTCTGTAATCTGGGGCCCTGACTGGAGCTTCGGGTTTCTACATATTATATTTGCATTAAGAGTAGCATTACCAAACCTTCATTCTTAGAATTGGGTTTGGAGGGGGATATAATACGATGATCATAAGGACTATCGGGGAGTACTAACTAACAGTCTCAAATCAGTATTACTATATAGTTCGTCCGCCCCCGATACTGCGGTTAAGGATCCAAGGGTCCAAGGGCTGAGGTGTCCGGAGTCCGGCTCCGCTTCAAGAAACCAACCCGAACCCGGCTCGAGCCCCCAACGAGGCACCGGTCAGCCTTAAGCCGATAACTGAGAAGGCTTTTCCTTACCTAATGGGTGGGGAAGTGCTGTAGGGGCCTTCATAATCAAATCCTCGGGCTTCTCGAATAGATGTGACATTTATGGGTGGTTGTCCCTATTATAGTACGGCACCTAATATTTAGGATACCCAAAAAGGGACCATATAATTTTGACAACTACCCATATATCATAAAAAGGCCCACCCTCAACTTGCCGACTCAGTTACTAGGCCTCCGCAACCTCCCGATCCTGACCCTTCCCCCGGAACCCGAAATCCACCCCTCAACCCTGAACCCTGGCCCCTAAACCTAAACCCCTACCCAGAGGGTCCAGATACACACTATTATGGAATTAAGTTATGGTTTTGGGGACCTAATTCCATAATGGTAGTGTGCATGGACCCTCTGGGCTATACTTAACTGCTACATCGTAGACCCTAAACCGTAACTACGGCGCATTGGGTTTGGCTCAGGGCTTGGCGCCCAGTGTTCCTATCCAAAGACTTCAATACCCCTTAACTAGGAATATAACTTAAATTAAAGTAGGGACCCCTACTATGATCTAAGGCATACTCCTTAACTACGGGATATCGGAGTCTCTGGGTAACCCATAAAAAATGTCTTACTAAATCTTACTAGTACTAGCAGTGACCGTGGCTCATACACAAAGATTAGCGACAACGAGAACTGCGAGAGCAACAAGATTGATGGTACCATCATCTTCATCCTCAGTGAATTCAGTACATGCAATATGAGCCGCGGAAACTGCAACACCAAAGTCACGACCATGAGCAACGAAGTGCGAATTGATAGTACTGGCACGAAACAAGCCGCAGCGCTAAATCCGAGGAGAACTGCTGGCGTACTTGCACAACTGAATCCACGAGAGATTCGAAAACCAGTTCAAGCAACCTCACCACTTCAGGGTCACTTGCAAAGCCTCAGCTATAAAGCCTCATGATGGAACCCGTAGAGCAAGTTGATAACCTTGTATTTTGTTTGAAAGCTCCGCCAAGCCACCCCAAAAAAGCAAGAAGAGAAACCGCAGAGTCTACACCCTCGAGCTGCCACACAGGCGAAACCCCACGCCACCCAACAGCCTTCCATTGGCGATGCTGGCTCCCTGGAGCCTTGGCATGCGAGGCTTAGCGTTTAATTGGAGTTTAAAGTTTAGGGTTTGGGTTTAGGGTAGGGGACTTGGTAAGCAGGCCGGAAGTATGGCGGGAAACAGCCTCAACCGTCAGCTTATGATAGTCAGCAGCAGCATGTTCACCCGGATGTCCATCAAAAGCAGAAGCCCCGTAGATGCTCCAAAGCCCCATGAACCCTAGCCTAGACCCTTCAAAGCCCGGCAAAACCCGATCAAACCCCACAAAGCCCTTTGGCATCCTTTGAAGGTATGGAGAGGGGAATCCCAATGCATGCCCTCGAGGAAGCAGCGGTTTAGGGTTTAGGGTTCCAGGATTCTCACTAACACAGAGTAATTAGTGGCCGAAAGCCGGGTTTTAACGGCTTCAACTGAAACTCCATGCGGGAACTTTCAGTAGTTGTGGCTAGTGGTACTCATTCTTCCGGCCCCGGCATGCCCCGACATTGGGAGGTATACGCGGAGCATTGGCCTAGCGCATAAAGCAAGGCTTCGCGGGATGCAGGGCGTTGAAGTTTGGTCGTAAGCTAGAAGTGCTGTACACACGTTAGTGGATATGCTACAACGCTGGAGTGTTACAGCTTCTGCGTGGTCTAACGTCGTGTTAGAAGGGCTTTAGCAATCGGAGAAGGCTCTCTGAGTGATGGAGGGAATCATGTTTCAATTGTACAGGGTCTACACGTGCTTTAAAATAAGTATTCCGGACCCTGTAAATTCCGAACCCTACGCTCGACACTAACACGATGGCAGAGGGGCCAGTTGAGAGTCATGATCTCGTTCTCTGTCATGTTCTCCTTGACTTCCGGCTCCTGCCGCATCGAGCAACACGACAACAACAAGACTACTTGGAGGTTCATGGGTAGTTATAAGTGGGGTCATATTTAGGGTAACTATGGTTATAAGTCCTGTTAGGGGGAATTATAACCCTACCCATGAACCTCCAAGTAGAACGAAGAGTAACCTAGGAATCAAAAAGGGGTGCCCTTTTTTGGATTAAAGGGTGTTATAAGGAAGCCTGAGGCCCTGACAAAAGGAATAAGGGCTTACTCAGTCAGAGTAGACCTTGCCCAGTTTGGGTAATAATGCCACCGTCAACCCATTAGATGATCATTCCTATACTCCCCCCTACACTTCACCGATAAATCACTACTACTTCCCCCATTAGATGATTATTCCTATACTCCCCCCTAAATTTCACCGATATATCACTACTACTACCCCATTATCAACACAATTCTAGGAATAACCATAACCCCATCTATTATCTCTAAGGTGGCATTATTACCCAAAAGGGGCAAGGGGGTTCTCGTAGGATTTGGTTCAGGGTTTAGGGTTAAGGGTTCGGCGCGGTCTGACTTTTTGCGAAGCCGCCTCAGCACTGCATCGCACTCCACATCAGCGGAGGCCGGGCTCAAACTTCTGCTTGACATCATCTGCCAGGCCGTCCAAAATGGATTCAGCAGAAGCCACTTGCTCACACACGGACTTGCCACCTTTACGGGCACCGTCCTTCAATGCATCCTGTCCATTTTGCAATGTTAAGCTCTTGCATATCGTGGGCACTATATACAGGCAAACAACTCCTCCAGTGCAGTGTTTTGGCACTGGAACACGCTCCAGATGCCTCGTCTGAATCCGGGTGTGCTCACGCCCTGTTGCGATTTGGATGAAATAAAACTTGTTGGCCTCCTCACCACTTGGAATGCCACAGGCGTCTATACTTGGATAGTTGTCTCCACGTGGACGATAAAGCACTCCCTCCCTGATTGTCTTGGCACCGTAGAGCTCACACGTGCCGTTAAATTGAAGGCACAGGTCGCTTCCATCGCTGAGCTTCAGCTTCAAGCCGCCTTTCGCAACGGCCTGAGTGAGTGCCATCGCCTCAAAAATGGTAGGGAGTGGCTCGGGGCACGTCTTTGATCAAGCGCTGGATGACTCCACGGTTGTGGGTGCACATCTCCGTCTCAACGCCACTTGAGACCCACCCGATTGCATCACCAGCTGTGCGGTCCTTGCCATCACTCTCGGTTTCTTCATCGTCATCGAGCAGTTCAGGGCTCCCACGCAGGACCACCATCGTGTGAGCATCCTTGTGGGACACCTCTTCACCAGCAAAATTGCGACGTGTCATGCTGCGTATGAACTTTTGCAGTTCGTCGTTGAACTTATGCTTCATACATGCCCTTACCAATCGCGGCACGGTCAATCCCGACTCGTTGTACAGCTCCTCTTTCTCCTTTTCCAAAGCTAACCCCTGCACATCGGGACGCTCCCTCTGGATCCAAATGTGAATCTCTGCTTGACTCCAGACAGGAAGGTATAGAATGTCAGGGAACTCCTTGTCGCCATCCTTGCCGATCAACTGCGAGAGCTCGGAACCAGCACTGGCCACCACAACCAAGCGATGCAAACCGTAGACTGCGCAGGGGCTCTGCTGGTTGAAGTCAAGGAAAGCGTGATTTTTTATCTTTCCATCTGGCGCAACATCCACCAGGCCGATGGCTTTTCCTGCACCATTCCAATGCACTTTGCTTCCGCGCTTGAAGGCTTCAGTCTGCCATCCTGCCGGGCGTTTCCGAGCAACGAGCCAGCACCGGTCCGTAGCGAAAAGCACAGCAGTAAAAGGAGAAGCCTCTGACAAACACTCGGAAAGCAGGTAGTACAACATCGTTGTCTTGCCAATTCCGGGCGTTCCTTTGACGACATAGGTCTGCTTGTCAATGTTACGGAGCGATTCTTCGTCGAACAACAAGTCCCGCATCTTCTTGTAGCAGTTGCGAACATACATCGGGGTGTTGGGGATGCTCGTCCCCTCTCCGAGCCATCCATCTGTCACCTTCGCGGTCTTCACATCCTCGAACCACTCCAGTGCGGGGACTTCCTGAGCACAACGCAAATAAATCGGAGTCCTACAACTAAACCAAAAGAACAACTCAACCCCTAAACCCAACTAAGCAACCCAATCAACTAACCCTATCGGGGAATCCCTACGAGGAAACCAAACCTAGGGGGGAATAAACCACTACGCTACAACCAAAAGGCCAACCCCTAAACCCAATAAGTAAGGTAATCAACTGAGTCCATCGGGAGCAAAGTAAGAACACCAAACGAAATGGAAAAGGAGTCAAGGCACAGATGCTCCTGAATCTGGCCAAATACCGTGAATGCGGTTGAAAAGCGCACGTGCTGCGCCCCGACTTCTGCCAGCATTGGATATCGCCGTTTTCAGTTCTTCCTGCAGGGAGTTGGGCTTATAGGGTTGACGTTTTGGGTCTAGGGGTTCGGAGTGTTTGGTCTTAACTTTTTGGTTAAGCGTCTCCTCCAAGTCCTCTTTCGTGTGCTGGAGAAGCGCTGTTTTGGTGCATTGTCCAAGGCCCTGCTTAACAATCTGAGCAACTTCTGGAGCTTCTCCCAACTCGCGAAGCGTCTCCTCCATCCAACCAGGCACATCTTCGTTTCTGACATCGGCGAACCTGGCACGCGCCAGTTTCTGCTTCTTCTGCACGGGCTCTGCCATTGCACCGGTGAAACACGAAATTGAGGCGCTGATTTTGCAAGTCTGACCTTTTAGTTTATGTCCTAGATGCATCGCGAAGGAACACCGATGTGACATTATTCGGCTGTGTGGTCCTAGTGCTACCAAAAGACATGAAGACGTCATGAAGCAAGGCCTGTCTACACAACAAGCTGTCAAAACGGCATCAACTCGACTTGCAAGTTTCTGAGCAACCCACAACTACAATTGCAAGTAGCACTACAACTATCAACTCAAGCGGTGAAAACCCCCACAACTCCAATGACGCAAAAACAAACTACACTTTTAGCAACTCAAAGCGTAAATAAGCCCTATCATTCCCTGATACATAGTAATATTTTTGGCCCAATTTTTCATCAATTCTTCCTATGGTATAAACATTTTGCGACCAATTTGATAAACGTTCTTTTTCATTGGGTTTCCTTTTCCTAAATATTTTAACTTCATCACCAACACCTAGATCAGGATAGACCCGATTTCGTTTAGCATTCATATTTAAATGCAGTTTAACTTTCAATTCGTTGCTTGGTTTTCTGGCATCCTTTGGGGTGAAGCCAGTAGCGGAATGTTTCATTTCATTATTGTATGTTAATAATATTTCACAAATATAATCCGGCCACTGAATATTGTTCTTACCCTTTTTCTGATCGGCTTCAACACGACGATATAATAAATCTTTGAACGTCCTAATGGCCCTTTCGCTGAAATTTGCGTGTGCCCTAGTTCTACAGTGTTCTATGTTCTGTTCCTGTAAATACTTTTGTATTGCCTCCTTGTTCATTGCGGGTTCATCATCGGTAAAAATTATCTTCGGCTTCTGTCCCATTTTATGTAAGCATTCAACCATCCCACTAGCTAAATCTTCCTCCTTCTTGCCTTTAATTGCCACGACATGCATGAACTTATCAAATATATCAATCATTAACATCCCTACTCTAAATTTTTGGTTCTCCAAATCATTTATAAAGAACAAGTCCATCTGATACTCCCATCCCGAATGAGGAGCGACAAAGCTGTTGGAACCAACAGGTTTGCGCTTCTGCTCAACGTTCTTCCTAAAAAAATCATTGATATCAGACATTGTGATGGTTTTGTCTTTCTCCCGTGCTTCTTCTAATGTGCGATTCTTACTACCGAAACCGCTTCTATCGTAATAAACCTTGTTAATTATATCATCTTTATTAGAACTACTCATTATAATAAAGATGATATTATTTTTGCTCTTCAGACTTCGCGCAGACATACTCCAAATGTTTTTTTGTCCTTAGATGTTTGGCTTTGTCTCCTTTCCTATGTTCTGACCCACATTCGCACAACACCCTTTGAGCTTGATTATTCAGAACTTTGGTTCTATTTCCTTCGTAATATTCTCGGTGCTTGTGACATATTGCTTCTCTATGTAAATGATAATGTTGTTGGTGTCGCGCATTGATTATATCCTTGTTGTCTTGATAATATTGCTCATCAGTTCTACCAGCTATCCGTTTGTTGATGCAGTCGTTGATCTGAATGTGTTTTCCCTCGTGTTGTCTTAACTCGTCCCTGCTTTTTACTGCGACGGCCTCCAATAGTTCAATCTTACAGCTGTCCAAACCAAACTCATCAAATAAGTCAAACGCCGATAAATAACTTGTTTTCTTGCCTTTTGTGAACTGCTTGTAAATGGCCCTGTGTCTTGCCATTCGTTGGCTCAGTTCTTCGCAAGTAGATCCGATGTAGCACTTGTTATAACCAACATCAACAATTTTGTAAATCTTTCCATTCTGATATTTGTTCATCTCCCTACTTATCCTTAATTATCTTTTCTTTAAATAATGATTTAATACTTAAATTAAATCATCATTCGTCATCCATCGGCTTTATGATCTTGAACTTGCTCATATCATATTTGGGTGTGCCGCGCTTTGCTTTAAAGGGCTTTTTTGCATTCATTATTTCAGATAGCAATTCTTTTGTCAACTCATCGGGGTTCAGTTTGATATTGTTGGCTTCTTCATACTCCTTGATCTTCTTTCTCTGATTGTGTCGTAGTGCAGATTCTCGTTTCTTTTGCATATATTTTTCATCATTTCTGCGTTTGTTGTAATACAATCTGCTGTATATGGCGAGTTGCTCTTTGATTTCATCCATTGTCATATCCTCGGGGTTTTTACTCATATTATACTATACTATATATTATTTTTATCTTTAGACATATTTCTATACATTAAAAAACATTTAGTATTTTAAAAAAATCCTTGGAAAATTTATACTTAAAAAGAAAATAAATATATAGTTTAACTATATTAATATATGTCCAAAGCCATTAAGCGTAATACGGAAGCACTACAAACATTTTATAACAACAGAAGAAACCGCATCAGCCAAGCCACCAGAACAAAAGTTCAAAATATAATTAACTTATATTCAGATCGTAAGATCGCCCACTTCACCACAGCAGACAATTTAATCAGGAAACTCACCACCGCAAAAACAGACAAAGAAAAAACTAAAGCAGAAAAAGAATACAACAAGATTTATGACAAGCACAAGGATAAAGAACAATTAGGTCAGAGAATGGCCCAAGCAAAAGAAGACAACAAACGAACGGGAAGAACCAACCCGAGGAAACCAAAAAAATATTCAATCAATGTTCATTTATATAGGCTTAAGACAGAAGCAGACAAAGGTGTATTAAAAACGTCTTTTAGAGACAGTAGGGGTAGGGAATATGTCCCAGTATACATGAACCCTTTAACTGCTAATGTGCATACAACACAGTGGGTAGAAAAATTAGCGGGGAGACGCATATTCAAATATGAGAAAGCCGATTCTAAGACGTTCTATAGGCTCAAGTTGTTCTTAGTGACAGATGACAGTTTTAAAGCCGAAGTTGGTTACGCAGAAGGTTACATTGACTGTATTAAAGTTAATTATGCCGAAAGGGTAGATAACGCCGATGCTTTCAAGCCACAAGACGAAGATCTAACAAACACAGTGAATGTCAGTATGTATCACAGATATATTCAGACACCACTAGATCCACAGTATGAGACCTTTAAGGAAGCCATTAAAGTAGAACATTATGTTAGGAACGAGTGTTGGTTTAACACCTTGACCGATTATTATAAGGATACCCTTATGGGAGATAACAAGCGAGAGAAGAACAAACTAACAAAAGAAGCCATCCTAAAGATCATAAATAAGACGGAAGAAGATTTTAAAACAAAAGGGGCATCAATAACAGACATGACCAAGGTGTTTGAACATTTTAACTTGCAAGTGAGAATATATGATGTCTTTGATACTCTCATTTATAAGCGCGACCCAATAAAGCGAAACCATCACATCCCAGCCTTATATGCTATAGTGAAGAATAGTCACATCTACACAGTCAGTGATAATATGAATATGTTGAAGCAGATGATACCCAAAAGCAGTAATTATAGCATATCTGTTAAGGCATCTTCAGATTATCACATTAACGAGAAGGAGGAGCCGGTGGAATGTAAAATGATCACATGTCTAGACGACATCCGTAAATACACAGAGCACAGCGAATACACATTGGTATATAATGGCTACGATCTGTCTCATCTCTTTTATCTTAGCAAACAGGCAGGTTATGAGCCACAGGTTAGGTTTAGCGCGGGATGTGTGTCCGAACTTAACTTCAAGTTTAAGATCAAGATAAACAGCAAGAGCCACAAAGAGATTAAATACAAGGTCAAGACCCAGAACTTAGTAAATAATTCTATAGATGGTTCCATCTGCGTGAGAACGGAGCAGATCTACAACAAGATGTCTAAAGCGATGTTTAATTTTAATACCGCCCTCTTCAAGCCGACCCACAAGTCATATTACAACGAAATAGATGTAGAGATGTTCAAGGAGTGTCGCACCATACCCGCAACGGGTGAAATAAATAAACCTTATTATTTATATAACCCTAAGACAGACAAGGATGACAAATACTTTTATACCCCAGAAGTGGCTACAGAGATAGATGTAAGAAAAGCTTACACATCTGCGTTTAACAAGATCGCCGAGATACCGGTATTCACTCAGTTTGATATATGGAAGCCATTCAATGGTAAGGTAACAGATTTTCACGATCTCACTCTCTACTTGGTCAAGCCCACCAAGCGGAGTTTATTTTTCAATAAAGCCTACACTTTAGTATATGGTATGTTTTTAAAGCACTTTGTGAAGCAATGTAAGATTCTTTATTATAAGCAACCGTCCAGAGTGTATAAGGTGGATTATAGGAAGATCACAGCGGAATTATGGAAGACAGACATATCTGACAAACCGGCCGAAGACATCAGAATAAAGAAATTAATAGCTAATGTTAACTTCGGGCTACTTGAGAAGAACACGAACAAAGCCCATAAAAGTTATGCCTTTGATACATTAAAGGAAGCCTTATATTATCAGAACAAGATCGGAGGAAAGATTAACAGAATCTCGGGTATGTATGTTGATGAGATTGAGTTACCTAACGGCGAGACAGACTTCATAGAAAAAGAGATGGACAGAAAATATTATTGCTTAACAGTGACCGATAAAGTCACCCTACGAAACGGATATATATATATATATACACATCAAAGAATTATTATTACAACATCATAACTTTAAAATGCACACCGACTACACCAAGCTAACAGAAAACCATATAGGAGTATGGAGTGTTAAAACCGATGCCCTTGTTATCAGGAAGGAGCATTTAAGACGTGCTAAGAACCTAATAGAGTTCTCAGATCGTATCGGCGGGTGGAGACACGAGAAGAGTAAAAACATAGCAGAACCGACAGAGCAGTGGGCACCAAAAAAGAACGAACTGATCCCCATACCCATATTTAACAACGAGACCCGACCCATAGAAAACGAGTGGGACACGGAAAGCATAGCAAAAGATATCGTAACAAATAATCCTATGATGATCCGATCTAAGTATGCAAGTGGTGGCAAGTCACATATAGCAAAGCATTTCAGCAAGT